TTGTCTCTTGTCTATTTTTTCCCTCAATCCTCACTCCCCTTTTAAGGAAAGTGTGAACAAGTTGGCGGCTCCCGACAGGCAAGGTAAAACAAATGTAACACATCTTTACATAATTAAACGCGTATCCTTACCTCATTAAACAAATGCAGCATAAACAAACGTAACACACCTTTACACAGTTGAAGTCATATCCCGCAGCATAAACAAGTATAGCACATCTCTGCCCAGTAACAATAATATTCCACAACAGATAATGATCCCTGATAATCTGGATGGGGCTCATTCGATGTTGAGAGCGATGGTTAGAGATATGGCCTAAGAAGATGCTTGGGTTTGAGGGGACAGGAGAAAGCACGTCCCTAGAAACGGGAGGAGATGCTTCCCCATGGTGATGCAGCAGACACGGGGAGGGAACAGTGTTCTGCTGCTGGGCGAAAAGTACCATGTAGACACATTCCTAGAAACGGGAGGAGATGCTTCCCCATGGTGATGCAGCAGGCACCCAGAGGGAAAGTGTTCTTCTGCTGGGTGAAAAGCATCATGTGGAGTGAGAACCTTGGGTGTTTTGCTGAGATTTTTCTAACAGAGCATTAGAGGTATTGGGCTGGTGCCTCGCTGCCCATTGTAAAGGCGGAGGAAGAAAGGGAAGACAGACAAGTTCTGTCAAGTGACAACAGGTTAACACTTAATTATTTGGGAGCTTCCTGACCTATCCAGGTCCCAAAAGTTGTTAAGTTAGGAAATTCACTGTGGGGAAAATACATCTTAAATGGTGGCCGAAGTGATAACACCGAGTGAGGAGCTGAGACGGGGCGGGGTCAGGATGGGCTCCAGAGCACTCTTCTGGGATAACTAGGAGATTCACAAGCCTTAAAGACTGTTCTGTCAGCAGAAATGCCCTCAGCTTGGGCTGGAATGGACAGACTCAGGACAGGGTGCGGGAAAGCTGCTGGCCTTCCACGATTCTGCGAGCAGAAAATGGGCTGCGAATATTTCACTGCAAATGTGTGCTATACTTCAAGACAGAGGGAAACGCCCCCTGGGCCATCAGGGGCTGCAGGGGGTCTCCCCAGGCTTCGGGAACAGAGCATTAAGGTGCAGAGGAGTCTGTCTGGTGAGGCCCGTGTCTTTCCTACTGGGTTTCATCTTACTTGGGCCTGCTGGTTCCTTCACCCCTTATTTCTTCCCTTGGGATGGTAGTGCCTGCATCTTAACCATCCTGCTCTTGCAGGGTGGAAGGAGATAACTTGTTTTCTAGCTGCTGGGACCCCAGGTGGAGAGCGGTTTTGAGTATATATCCAAGACCTCTAGAAGAGCTTTAAAGAGAGGGACACACACACACACACACACGCTCACACACTGGCTTTCCCATCTTGGCAAGGCATTTGTCACACACTGTGGTGTGAGTTTCGCAGTTTGGTGAGACAGCAAAACCAGCACACATTTCTTCACAATTTCACAGGCAAGATTTATTCTTACCACCAATCTTAGCAGTCTCGATACAGGATTCTCTATTTCCTTCCTAGGTGGAACGCATTCCCTCTTTACTTACAGGAGGGGCTTGATACCTTCTCTTGGGCGTATGTCCAAATCCGCAATGAAACCTTGACTCTTTGGGTCCAGTGCGAAGTAAAGTACGGGTTACTTAACTGTGAGTGCCAGATGTCACTACAGTGGCTCTAATAATGGAGAGGGGGCACTAAGTGAAAAAGATGGTTTGGCTAGGCTACCTCAGCCCTGGCCTACCCCTCAGTGCTGGGATTGCTCGTGTGCACCAACCTACCTAGCTCTTGACAAGAGTTCTGGGGGACCTAGCCTGGGTCCATATGCTTGTACTGATTGAACTTTTTTCTCAGCCCCCGTAGCTAAGCCTTTTGGACAGCAATTTCCCCAGGATAGCTGAAGCTGCTGAGAGAGAAAATGTGTGTGGATGGAGGGGAGGGGCTATGTGCCTGATTTAGATGAGGAGATTCGAGACTTCTGAGCTGAAAATTCTCAGGTGCAATTTAGGACTTGGCATTTATGTCCAGACTCTTGAAAATATTAGGGAGCTTGGGAACCTCCTACTGGCCTAACTCCCCTTTTAATCATGGGCTGGCTCCAACTCCAGCCTCCTTGGTGGGGAGCTAGGTGCAGCATGCATTTCGGTATAGCAGTTGCTGCCTGGCTATGATATAAGCCCTTTGTTAGCCTGCTTCTTACTGTCTGACCTACGTACCTCAGGACTCCTAGCTATGACTGGACGTCTGGGTCACCCCACTTTTAGTCAGATATTCTGTCACTGTGACAAATTACCTGAGTGTTCTAGTTAGCTTTGACTACCAACTTGACGGTCTAGAGTGATCGGAGAAGGAAAACCGTCTCAACTTGACAGTCTAGAGTCGTTGGAGAAGGGAAACCGGGTTCGGGGATTTCCTGCATCAGATTGGCGTGAGGGCACATCTGTAGAGAACTGTCTTCATTATTAATTGATTATGTAGCGCCCAGCCCACTGTGGGCAACACCATGCCTACACAGGTGGGCCTGGGCTGTATAAGAAAGCCAGGTAAGCACGGGTCTGTGAGTGAGCCGCGAAGGAGCATCCTTCTATGGTTTCTGCTTCCAAATTCCCTGGATGATGGGCTGTGACCTGTAAACTGGAACAAACCCTTCTCCCCTAAGTCGCTTTTGGTTAGAGTGTCTCATCGCAGCAGCAGTATGGAGTAGAAGCAGGGGAGAGGCAGACGGAGCTGCCCATCTTGTGAACAGGGGTAGAGACAGCGGTCCATGCTGGTGGGCTTCCTCCTCCTTCATCCCACCTAGACTCTGCCCTATGGGTTGGTGTGGCCCCCATCCAGGGTGGTCCTTTCCCCTTCAGTTGTCCCACACATCAGTCCACCCTGGAAACGCCTTCAAGGACACACGCAGAAGTGTGCTTTAGTAGTCTCTCAGGCGCCTTAAGAATTAGTCATCATACTGGGACAGTCGAGACGTCAACACCCCCGCTCCTAATTCCACTCTCTACTTATTGAGACAAGGTCTTTCACTAAACCCACTCAATTCAGCTAGACCGGTTGGCAAGCGAGCCCCAGAGATCCTCCTGTCTTGGCCTTCCCATGCTAGAACTACAGGCTCGTGCTGCCTGGCTGGGAACGGAACTCGGGCTTATGTGGCAGACAAGCGCGTACACCGACTGAGCTGTCTACCCAGCCCCCTCTCTCATTAGGATTTTGTCTGTGACAATCTCTTCTTCCTTCTGTTCCCTCTGCCTCGTGGTGGCGGGAGGACATAAGTGTGGATGTCTTTTCTTTCCTGTCATTTTTTGGAGGTCTGGGAGGGAAAGGCTGCCACGATTTGGGCCAAGGCCCATGGGGAATTCTACTGTACAGGCAGCGTTGGTTGGTCTCCACTCTCTCCCAGGCAATGAAGGCTGAGGACCTCCTCTGAGCAGGCCATGCAGCAGGTGTCTGTAGGCCTAGGTGGCAGTAACGGCGCTAAGTGCAGAAAACTGAGAACTGTAAACATCTGCCAGGACTTATCCCACCGTCTCTGCCCTGGAGAGTTTGCCTTGCAACTCCAGGGAGACCTGTGGTAGATGGTCAGGCTGACCTTCAGCTATGCTACACAGCAAGTCCCGCTCCCCCCACCAAACCTCTAAACAGTTGATGCTTATCTTGTGCTTGTCCTGTGTCATTGATTGTCTTGGCCAAGGGGGAAAAAGGCTTCTTTTTAGCAGGGGGTAGGAAGGTGGAGGGGAGTTGTAAACCAGTGGGGTTCTAGCTCCTATAAGTGTTGGCCCAGAAAAGACTCGGGACACCTGTACTTTGGTTTTTACAGCCAAGTGGGCTATGAGGCCTTGCACTGAATTTCCAAGAGAAGAACCTGTGGTGGCTGAAGGAAGGGTGCTGTAGAAATTGTGGTGAGGGAGGCACTTGCTGCCTTGTGGTCACCTATAATCCACATGGGGCAGAAGGAAAGCCACTCCAGGGCTGCCAGGTGGCGGAAAGAAAGGTTGTCTTTGTGATCAGGGTTTAGGACAAGACTGAAGTAGGCAGAGGCTTTCCCAAGTTAGACCTCTGAGTAACCAAAAAAGGGTTCCCAGTGACCAGGACTTAGATACTGGAAGCCAAGCACCCCGACCTTGTGAAGGAGCAATGACAGGTTAACTCTGCTCCAGGCTTCCCAATGTCCATCTAAGACCTACTGGAATCTTGGCGTGAACGCAGGACGCTGGACCACTTGTGCTCCTCGCCACGACTTTAGCGCAAACCTGCACTAGGGAACTCTATTGGGTGTCCAATGAGCCATACTAGGAGAGGTCAGAGAAGCTAGACTAGGGTACAGCAAAACTAGGTTTCAGGACACACACGTCTGTGTGCCGGCGCGCTCTTGTAAGCAGGGTTCTGGTGTTCGCGTTGGGCGGAGCCTGCCTGTTAGACCCCGCCCTGCTCTCCCCTACCCCCAAGTGTCGAGATCCCGCGCCTCCTGTGGCCTCAGAGCAGGATAGCACCACACTGCCACCGCAGGGCAGCACAGCCACTTCCTGCGACCCCCATTACATGCACAGCACAAGCCGTGGCCTTATGTTTGAGGTTCCTAAGGATCGAGTGGCAGAAATCTACGAGCGACTTTTACTACGAAGTCAGTGGAGGTTGTTTAGGCCCAGGGGGTTCCCGATTGCTCGCCAGTCACAGCATTCCTACAGGGCCCCCAAAGGTCTCTGCCACCCAGTAAAGCACAGAGTCCCTGTCCCTGGCCTTTCGGGCGCTTCAGGGTAGAAGGAAGGAGATTGGCATCTGTCTTTTAGCCCTGCGGCCTTTTCGGTGTAAGGGTTTTCGAGCCCAGGCGAAACAGATCCTTCTCTTTGGGTAACCCATGCTGAGTGCGTTGTTCAGAATCTAATACCAGCCCCGCCCTGGCCCCGCCTGGCCCCGCCCAGGTTCCGGACTCCACCCCGAGTCCATCTCTCCGGCCCCGCCCCGCCGCTCGCAACCGCGGGCGGGTCGGCTGCCCGGGCGAGCCAGAGCTGATACTAGGCGCATTGCCGGTGCAGCCAGCCTTTAGCGCTGCTGCTCTTGCCGGGCCGGGCGGCAGGCCATGTTCCGGGCTGTGGCCGCTGCGCATACCCAGGCCTGGCGATGAGGAGCGGCGCCGAGCGCAGGGGCAGCAGCGCCGCGGCGCCCCCGAGCTCGCCTCCTCCTGGTCGCGCTCGCCCCGCGGGCTCCGATGCGCCCCTCGCCCTGCAGCCGCCAGCAGCCAGCCAGCCTCGGGGCCGGGACGCTGGTGATGCCCGCGCACAGCCGCGCCCCCTGTTTCAGTGGAGCAAGTGGAAGAAGAGGATGTCTATGTCGTCCATATCGGCAGCCAGCACGCGGAGGCCGGTGTTTGACGACAAGGAGGACGGTGAGTGAATCCGCCCACTGGGGACTCCCGGGGACAACCGAGTACCCGGGCCCATGGAGACCTTGCGCACTGTCGCAGGGCGGACGCAGAGGTGGCATTTCTCATGTTGGGACACAGTCGCCACCCGGGTGGGACTGCTTCTTGGGGCGTTTGAGTTTCCAGAGAAACTATTAGACCACCACAGAAGTCCCCATGCGCATCCTGTTTCCAGTCACTGTGCAGCGGGCAGGGGAGGGTCTGGCCCGCCCTGCGAGGTGAGAGTAGGTGATGTGGAGGCTCCAGGCTCAGGCGCAACACCACCCGCTAACGTGCACCGCATGTTTTCAGTTTCCTTTATGGGTGGTGTGCAGGCAGCGTGGTTACTTTTAATTCCAGGAGGTGCTCGCTTGGTGTGCAGTTTATGAAGTGAGGTGCCTGCCCTACAGGTGGCACTGGGGCCTGGGCCCTTCAGTTTGCGGTGCACCCTGCAAGCCCAGAACATTCATTAGATTGTGCTGCACACTCAATCCTCGCCTTTGTGCAAAGACCCGTCCTCGGGGAACTCGGGTTCCGTGGTTCTGTGAAATCCACCTGCAAAGGATAGCTGTTGACCTGGAGGACCTGTGTCTCTTGAGTAGCAGGGAAAGGTGGCCAGCCACTGGTGGGAAGTCCTGGATGAGAGGTGCCGGACAGCTGGCTGTGCAAGCACAACAGCTGGGGCCATGCTGGGTGCAGGGACCTTTCCCTCAGCTCCTGCTCGATGTGGCTTTGGGGGAGCCGTGATGGACTCACATGAAGCATAAAGCTTTTTCCCCTACAGATGCCATAAGGATAATTTTAAATGGTACAATCATGACACATTTGATGTTTTTTTTGACATTTTCTTAAAATAGTTGAAATATGCATTTTCATTTGTAGGCAGCCTACAGAGATATGATGGATTTTTTTTTTATAATTTTAGAACACAGCTCAGCACAGGAGCCCAAGCTACTTATTTCCAATAAATAATTAAAGCATTTAGGAAATTACAATAATCAGAACCCAAGCCTGTGTTGGAGAGCATGTGGGGCTACATGCCGGCATTCCTTTCGGAAATGGGAGGCATGGGGTCAGGCCAGTGAGTTCCAGGCCTCTGCTGAGTATGGTCAGCGGGGGAGGGGTGTTCAAGTCTGCCTGCATCAGGCACAGTGTGTTCTGAGGTGGCGGGTCACTGTGCTCTGAACTTGGGGACGCACGACTCACATGCTATGCCTTCATTCTCAACATCAGTATTCAGAGTTAAAAACAAACAAGCAAGCAAGCAAGCAAAAACACCCAACTGGAAGAAGCAGACCAGTAAATGGACTTGCATCTGGTTTCTGGCTACAGAATGAGTGGTCTGGAAAACACATTTGATTTCAGTACTTGCTGGTGCCAGCCAAGGGCTGGCTACCCTTCCATGTCTGTGCGTCATGTCTCCAAGGCAGCGGGGTTGGAAACAGAAATTGATGTAGTCCAGGGACTGCGGTTGGCGGTCCAAGTCCACTCTTTCTTCTTCACCGCGCTCTCTCTCAGAACTCAAGATCTTCCCAGAGGGGCACGGGAACAAGGTCAATTGTGGTGCTCACTGTGACTTGGGAACCTAACCACTTACTTGCTTATGGTAGGATGGCAGAGGTAGTGACTGTTCTAGGCTTCCGAGGGATGATGCACTGATGTGCTCACCAGGTCTTATTTTGTAGGATCTGTCTCTGGTGGCACTCATCCCCGGGTGTGTGGCCCTGGACTGATTTACCCCTAGAACTTAACTGGGTTTTGGTGGGTTTGAGAGACCAAGTCTGGTACTGGGCCTGGTGGCTGAGAATGCTCTCTGGGTGGGTGACGACCACTTGTCTGTGTCGTTAGCAGGACAAAAAGAGAGCCATGATATGGTGCTCCTTCCATTCGAACTGCCTGCGAAGGTGTTAGGTAGGATTCATTAACATAAGGGTACAGCTGACGCGAAGAGCAGCCTTCAGAGAGGAGTGGGGCCTGGACTCCTGTACATAAGTCACCCCCTTTTCCTGTTGTAGTGGGGCCTGAGGGGCGGGCCGTGCTGTGCTGGTGACTTGCATGTACTGGAACTGTACAGTTGCCATGGCAATGTGAGACCTTCTGATGAATTTTTTTTTTTAGATTAAAACACCTAATTAATATATCAAATTTGCTCAGCAAAGGGGAAAAAAAGGAAGGAAAATAGGAGGGCAATTTAACAAAGTAGCAGGTAAATTGCAACTGAAAGAGTATAGTTGTGCCAAATAGGATCTCAAATGGCCTCTACGCCCATGAATCCTCCCCGAACCCCAGTGCGCTGTTCCTCCCTAGCAGGTATTTGGGGCAAGTGAAGAAGAATTTCCTGCTCTTCTTCCTCAACAAAGGGCCCCGTTTCCTTCCCCACGGCCATCGCTCTCTTGACTTGTACTGGAAATTCATTTGGAGAGGACGGTCCTGTCACTGCCTCAGTGCTCCTGTGATGCTGAGGGGTCCCAGCTCCTTCCCACTTGTGTGACCTGCTGGGACAGTGGTCCATCCTAGCAGGCGGAGGCTTGCCATCTTAGACCCAGGGTGGTGTCCCCTTAATAGTAGAGAGTCCCTCATAGCTGCGAAGGCTTGCTCTCATCCAGAGCCCTGGAAATGGGTGAGGGTACCTCTCTAGGGCAGTAAGTCAGGGCGTAGGACAGGGACCCCAGCACTGAGGACACTGCTTTAAAAACAAATGTTGAAAAACCCATTTTCTAATTGTAGGTGCCTCACAAAGTATACATTAGACAAGGAAATTGTGCTTGGTGCCAAAGTGCATGTTCAGCACAGTGAGGTCCCCAAGTGAACGCCTGGGCGCCTCCTCTTGGGCTTTCTTCCAGGGATCTAGGAATGCAATCACACCTACAGCTGTGTGGAGACACCTTTTTTCCCCCTTTTGTACAGAAATGGGATCACGTTCTAGGCACTGTTTTAGTGTAACCTGCTTTCTCATTTATCAGCATGTCACCCACATCTAAGAGGTCCAAAGCATCAATTGGCTGCTGGATTCACATCAGCAGCTCAGCAGCTCTCCACCTGCATTTTGTATCACGTTCAGGGGACATTCTTTTTTTTTTTTTAATAAATCTGGTTTTAAAACTTATTCGTTTTATGTACTTTTAGTGTCTTGCCTATATATACGTCTGTGTGAGGGTGTCGATCCCCTGTCACTGGAGTTACAGAAGTTGTGAACTGTCATGTGGGTGCTGAGAATTGAACCCAGGTCCTCTGGAAGAGCAGCCTCTTAACTACTGAGCCATCTCTCTAGCCCTGAGTGGACACTCTTGAAAGACGCCAAATTCTCTCCTGTAGAAGCTGAGATTCAGCTTGTGGAGGTGAACTGGCTCACAGTGAGATTCAGGAATCTCCTTTCTTCTATCTCTCTCTCTCTGTCTCTGTCTTTGTCTCTCTCTCTTTATCAAGACAGGATTTATCTGTGTAGCCTTGACTGTCCTAGAACTCACTGTGTATTCCAGGCTGGCCTCAAACTCAGAAATCTACCTGTCTCTTCCTCCTGAGTGCTGGGATTAAGAGTGTGTGCTACCCCAGACAGAAATCTCAAGGTCCAAATCAGGAGCAGAAGGAGAGAGAGCGCGAGCAAGGAACTCAGGACTGCAAGGGGTGCACCCACACACTGAGACAATGGGGATGTTCTATCGGGAACTCACCAAGGCCAGCTGGCCCGGGTCTGAAAAAGCCTGGGATAAAACCGGACTCGCTGAACATAGCGGACAATGAGGACTACTGAGAACTCAAGAACAATGGCAATGGGTTTTTGATCCTACTGCACGTACTGGCTTTGTGGAAGCCTAGGCAGTTTGGATGCTCACCTTACTAGACCTGGATGGAGGTGGGTGGTCCTTGGACTTCCCACAGGGCAGGGACCCTGATTGATCTTTGGACTGACAAGGGAGGGGGACTTTTTTGGGGGAGGGGGGAGGGAAATGGGAGGCAGTGGTGGGGAAGAGACAGAAATCTTCAATAAATAAATAAATAAATTAAAAAAAAAAGAGTGTGTGCTACCATGGCCCAGCTAGGCGTCTCCTTTCTTAAGTTCCCTGTGACTCTGAGGAGCAGTCAGTGTGTGTTCCTCTCTGAATATGTGACTACACTGTTTGCTTGGTTTCTTACTGGAAGACATTTTTGACATATCATAAACTACATGGCCATGAATGTCTTTGCATACTCATGTCTGTGTTTGGCACCATCATCCCTGGAAGAATTTCTAGGAATGCCATAGCTATGTTACAACAGATAACTGGGCTGGCTCGGTTGGATGGGGGTGGAGGCCCTGTTTGAGAGACAACAAACACCTGTCTTACCCGTACTGTGGCACACATGTGGAAGTCAGAGGACAACTTGAGAGAGTGGTTCTCTCCTGACATGTGGGTTCTAGGGTTCAAACTCAGGTTGTCAGGCTTGGTAGACAATCCCTTTACCTTCTGAGCCATCTCATTGGCTCAGTTTTATTTTCTGTATTGAGAATTCTGGCCCACCGAGAATAGCGCCTTGTTCTCCAAGTTCCGCATTTTCTTAGGTTGAACACGTTGAAGGGGTCTGGAGGCTCAGAGTCTTTCAGTCTTCCTGTGGGTTGGTTCCATTTCATTGTTGGTCTGTGGCAGGGCTTTGGACTGGTTCTGCTTCACATGGTAAATGCTGACTGAAGGGATTACTGGTTCAAACATTCACCTGCCATGCATTGCTTGTAATCCGAGCTCTTAGAACTCTGAAGCAGGAAGATCATGAGTTTGAGACCAGGCTGGAGTATATAAAGAGGCTGTCTAACTATCAGGGAACAGACCAACCAGCCAAAGTCTATTCATCTTGACCGTGGATACTTTCTGAGACCCTCACTAGTCTTTGTAGTGTTCTGGTGACTTTCGCTGGGTGTCCTGAGAGGTATGTCATGCCACCTGCAGCCCATGGCTCAAGTTATGCAGTGACAATAGGCTCTCTTTTGTTGTTCTGATGCAGAGCTCAGG